ACTTTGTTTTCCAAATTTTATTCTCACTTTTTGGAGATAAAAGCAGACTCAAACTTCAGAAACCTTAATGCTTCTCTTTGTAATCAATTAAAGTTATTACACTTGGTTTATTGCTTTAATATTCTATTGTTCCATACAAATCACCACAATTTTAGTAGCTTTAAATAACACCCGATTACCATCTACTATTAATAGTCCTGTAGGGTAAAAGTACTGTGTTCTTTGGTGAGGGCAGATGAGGCTGAAAATCCAGTTTTCCACAGTTCTAGGACAAAGGTCTCCATTTTCGGGAAGACTGCTTACTGGGGTCACCCTCACTCCCAGAACACATTTCTTAGTCCCCTGATTCTCTTACTTCCCCTTTTCGTACACATCCAAAGAATCTGCTCTGCTTTTAAAGGGCTCATGTGATTAGATTAGGATCATCTGGATAATCTATCTTTTTATTAATTCAAAGTCATCTGACTGGTAACCTTAATCACATAGGCAAATTTATCATATTCACAATCCCAAGAATTGTAGCTGAAAATTTATGTTTATCATATAAATAACTTTAACACTTTTATCACAACTTTACTATAAAAGACTTATTTTTGTCAAATTTTTATATTTTTATTTTAATTTGAACAAAAATATTTTTGAATTAGTTAACAACAAATTAAGAGCCAACTTTAAGTATGAAATGATGGGCAAACAGTAGAAGCTAGAGTTTTATTATCCCAAAGCATTCAACATTGAATTACCTTCATGTACGTATTTTCATACATCTTTTGACTCTGTCCCTTATCCTGTCCTAGCAAATAATAAAAATATGAATTGACAGATTTGTTAATTAGCTTGGTTTAGTCATTCCATAATGGAAACATCATGCCATACTCGATACATATAAACAAGTACTATTGGTCAATTTTAATAAACTTTTTTAAAGATTTTAAAATTAATTTTTAAAAACTGTGATCATTTCCTCAAAGAATGTGGTTTTGTGAGAGCAAACGGGACCAGGAATTGGGAGATGCTAATCTTTCTCGAGCTCTGTTGCTAAATAGCCAAACATGGGCAAGTCACTTATCATAGATTCATTAAATTTTGGTTTTCAGAGGACTTTCATGTTATCTGTGCCAACATATTACTTGACTTTTAGCTGTTATACAAAATCTCTGCCAGACTTTGCTTGGATTCCTCCTGTAAAATCTCATTCAATCTTTGTTATTAAAATAAAAGGTTATTCTCTGTGTTACATTAAAAGCTGTTTCTCTAGTTTCAAATGTTCAAATAAACTGCAGTACTTAAAGGCCTTACTCCTGCAGATTAAGTGTTATTCCTGTTTCATGTGACAGTTCCTCAAATGTTTGAAGATTGCTACCATCTCCTTTCTGTTAGAAATAATCTATTTATTTCATGAATTTTAATTAATTAACAGACATTGTGCTTGGCACTGGATAGCTGGAGATAAATCTGGTCCAGCCTTCATGAAATTAATAGTTACCATGATTCTGCCTCCCATCATTTCATTCTGATGGCTGTTTTCCAGACCAGAATCTGAATTAGACCTCATAATATTTGCTCAGAGAGGCATATGTCTACATTTCTTTGTTAACTCATATTGAATTTCATTATCTTGACTCAGTTTATTCATCTTTTAAATGATCTAGTCAGTAACAAGTTTCTTTCTGCCTCTGGTTTTCCAAATTCTAAAAAATCTGGATTAATCACATTCTAATTAAAGGGGACCATCTAGATTAATATACTTTAGTAAAGGAGACATCGGATATTACATTTTCTGTTTGTCAAAAGCCTGAAAAGCAGTAAATAATGCGTATACCTGTTAATAGAGCCCAAGTAAGCTATTCAGCACTTTCCTTGTGCAATATGGTTTAGTCACTAGGTGTCATTCAAATGTTCACCATGAGCTATTTCAAGTATAACTTGCGCTTTGATAGTCTATTCTCATAAGCTGCTAGGAACTCTATAAAAAGAGAGAGTCCACAAAGGCAGTAATCTCCAGTTCTTGCTTTTCCCCACAGTATTCAAAGCCACTTCCTATTCCCTAACCTTTAATTTAACAGAGAAAGCCTGTTACAATAGAGCCATCTTTGTCCAGCTCTGCAGGCAGCTTCCCCTTCGGGTCACAGAACGCCAAATTCTATAACAGACAGGTACATTGTTTATTGTTGCTCTGAGATTGTACAAAAGACAGTCTATTTACCAGCTGGAAGAAAAGGGTGTGCATTTACACTATCATGAAACCCTTCTTTTTAAGACTGTAGTGACAAAGGTACCAGTTATGACAGTAAGGTGTGGCACATATCACCCTATTTTTAAAAAAGTCTTTAAAAATCTTTCATTCGTAGAGTTTAAGAATAATAAATAGCCCTTGCATGTGAATCCACGTTTTATGAAAAGAGCAAAATAAAGTGCAATCTAGCTCTCTTGTTATACAGGTAGTGGATTTTTACGGTTTTATGTGAGCAATCGATTTTCACTTAAAAAAAAAAAAAGAAAAATAACTGTCTTTCTTCATAATGCAATTAACTTTCTCTAAGATTTGTTCAGAGGCAAAGAGAAATGCAAGCGACTAGGCTGGAAGCTCAGGCATGATCTCTGAATCTCTGTAACGGAAAGCTGGAGGCAAGGTGCCACATTTCCATTTCATATGCAAACTCTGGAGACATATTCAAGGAAAAATCAAGTGAAGAAAGACCAGTGCCCTCAAAAATGGCTCTTCACTGGGAGTGATGACTCGTGCCTGCAATACTAGCACTTTGAGAGGCAGAAGAGGGCAGACCACCTGAGGTAGGAGTTCGAGACTAGCCTGGCCAAGATGGCAAAACCCCGTCTCTACTAAAAACATGGAAAAAAAAAAAGAAAAAATTAGCCAGGTATGGTGGCAGACACCTGTAATTCCTGAGGCTGGAGAATTGCTTGAACCCGGGAGGCAGAAGTTGCAGTGAGCCAAGACTGTGCCACTGCACTACAGCCTGGAAGAACGAATGAGACTCAGTCTCAAAAAAGAAAAAAAAAAAGTGGCTCTTCTTTTTCCCTCGGCCTAAATATCCAGTCACCAAATTCTATCCTCTCTTTCTCTAGTATTTCCCTCATGTTTGCTCACCATGGCCTAGTTTCCAACACTGGGATTACAGCCACAGCTTCCCACTTGCTCTTCTCCTTGCAGTGTTCACTCCTCAGTCACTTCTTTGCAGGAAAAAGCAATGTTCCTACAATGCAAACCTGGTCATATCACTTTTCTGCTTTGTTTTTTCCATATATCACAAAAGTACTCAGAATGAAGTCTGAGTTCTTTAGAGAGGCTTGGAGAACACTTTAGGTTAAGGAATCAACACCACCTCCCTATCCATGCTTTCATTTGGTCACATGCAATTATATTAATTCCTGAAAAAGCATACTCTCTTCTCTCTTGTGATTCCATGATTTTATAGACGTTATTTCCTCTGCCTGGAACACCTTCTCACCTTGTCTACCTGGCACAATACTTCTCATTAAGATTCACCAGGATCCTGACAGCTGTACCCTTCTACCTTTGACTTACCCTATCTGGTATAAGGGGTCTTTTCTCTCTCTGTTGTATCTTATGAATACCACAATGACCTAAACTTACTGCTGAGATTATTCTGTTGCATATTTGTCTGAGAACTAAACTGAAACATCTGAGCACAGGACCTGGCATGCTTTTCCATGTCTCTGGCAGAGTGCTTGAGACTTTATAGAGTCACAAAATCAATTAAATAAATAACACAGTTTCAACCTCAATAAATGGATGACTACAAATCTAGTAAGGCCACTGTTTTGCTTATAACTTTGTAACTGAGGAATAAAAACAAAAACAGGAGAATGAACAAATAACACCTTAGACCTATGACACCTGCTGGCACAAATGACTCATCCTCTGTATTCTGAAAAATATTTCCATAAACAGGATCCACATAGTTGTTCTATAGAAGTGTTTCCAAAATGGGGACCTGAGTCCAAATCTAGCCCACAATAGATTTAGTTTAATACATGTAGTAATATAATTTTTTTGAGACTGAGTTTCACTCTGTCAGCAGGCTGGAGTGGAATGACACAATCTTGGCTCACTGCAACCTCCACCTCCTGGGTTCAAGCAATTCTCCTGCCTCAGCCTCTCGACTAGCTAGAACTACAGGCGTGCGCCATCATACTCAGCTAATTTTTGTATTTTTAATAGAGACAGGGGTTCACCATGTTGGGCAGGATGGTCTTGATCTCCTGACTTCGTGATCTGTCTGACTCGGCCTCCCAAAGTGCTGGAATTACAGGCGTGAGCCACCATGCCCCAGCAATACTTTTAATTTTTGCACCACCAATACTTTTAATTTTTGTAACTAAAACCAACCCTCAAAAATCAGGGTGCTCAACATAAAATTTAGATTTCTGGCAAGTTATGAGAAATAATGGAGGACTTAATAATGCTGGACCCACATTTTCTCATAGCAGCAATCACAACGAGCTTCATGGGCAGCTAAGTCATGCCTGTCTCCTTCAGATGGGCACAGGATCTCCCAGGCCCTCTTACCATTGCTACCAGCCCTTGCTACATTTGTATTTTACATGCCAGATGTTCAAGATTTTGTAGGTCCCAGGCAACTTCTTCTACAGATATAATTTTGTTTACAAAATAAACCAAGTACAGATATTGACAATAAGAGCATAAGTGTAATTATACTTAGAGCCATGGATCTCACATACCATTTCAATCCATATTTCAGAGAGGTCAACTTACCTTAAAGTCTCTTGTCTAGGTTTTCACATGATTTCTTCAACACACTCTCTAGATTTCTATTTATGACATCAAATTTAGATTGGACAAAAGACAAGTTACATTTCAAAAACCAAAATGAAATCATAGCCTATGATGACTGCACTCGGAAATGGATTAGACATGTCTAGTTGCTTCAAAGCAATGCACGTTATAGATGCTTCTCATGTCAGCTGTCAATTGTGCGTTTCATCTTAAGACTGACCTTGGACCGTGGAGGTGCTCGGATGTACCACTTGCAATCAACAGCCTCGCTGGCCGTAGCTTTGCCTTCCTTCATAATTTGTATAGACTCCACAATTCCTTCGGGACCGCCCATCTCAAACTCACACACTAAATAACAAAATGCCAAATAAACACACAAAAACGGAGCTTGAATAATAAACCAAAAGTGTATTTCATAGCAGAAACAAAGTCTTCAGAACAGTATTAAATATCTATTTTACCAACCTGGTAATGGTTTCAAAGCTCCAAGGTCCTTAAAGTCAGGATCTTAAAAATTGAGAAAAAGACAATTAGTCCCATTCCACATTTATTACTTACAGTGATTTTGAGTTACATATCATTAAATTATCCAGAAATCTGACTTAAAAAGCACATTAGGGGAGAGTAAATGGTGAAATAAAAAGTGTATGATGATGTTGGGACTGAAATGTTAATTTAGTATTACTAGAAGGTTTTTCTCAATATAAAAAAACACTATTTAAAGAAGTTTCTAATGCCATGTTTGCATCTAACTATCAAATAAAAAAGCTTACTCATTACCTATAACTCCATAAGTAGAATAATTAAATTAATTATATTGTCTATTCTCCATAACCACAGAATAGACGTTTTTGTAAAATGTATCCATAGGTAATTCAAGGTTTGGGGCAATTTCCCTGTCTTCTAGATACTAACCTCTTTCCTGATTCAAAACATTCTGTAAAGTGTTGTAACACAATTTTTAACCAGAATATTTGAAGCACAAATTAAGATGTAAAACCTAGAACTCCTTTTTTTTTTGGCTGACTGAACAATCCTGTTTTCATCAAATCTTTATCTGCAACATTTCATACTATGCTAGCTGTCAAAGCATTCCTGGTTTGTCTTCTCAACACCCACTCTCCCCATCTTCCTCACAATCAAGCCCAGGCTCAGCCACCTGTCCTCTGCTTATTTATGTATTTCAGGGGAAGCCTGCTGTATTATGGGTCTCAGATGTTTTCTAATGGTTAAAAGGCAAATTGGGGGTCTCATTCTCATTTCTGGAATGGATTTTGAGGTAGGTATGCAGCCAATGAAATACAAAGATGAGTCGTTTAGAGGGTTTCTGAGAAAGTCTTCTTTGTAATACAGACAAGGTGTATATCATTTTTTCTGGCTTACATTGCAGTCATGCTTGTACGGACATTGTGAAATCATGAAGCGGCCAACTTACAATGTTGAAAATGCTAACTGTGATGATGAGCAGAATGGAAAGGTGGAGACCCAGAAGTCATTAATGATGTCACTGAGACACTGTATTATCTTATTTGATATACATATATTCCTATTTAAAAAAATTAAAATTTTAATTATTACATAAGTATATATTATGTACATAAACTTATTACATAATAAATATATAGTCATTGCATATACTTACAGAGTAACTTATTCTGGAGTTGTATTTCTGCAAGATTTATCCTTTTTTTCCATTTGACAAGTAAAAATTGTTTACATTTATAGTGTACAATGTGATGTTTTGATATATGTGTACATTGTTGAATGGCTAAATCATGCTAATTCGCATGTCTTAATTCGTGTAACCAGCATTTTCTTGCATATTAAGAACACTTAAAATCTACACTCTGGTAATTTTCAAGTAGATTCTAGAATATATTGTTACTAACTACAGCTATCATGGTGACTTCATGAACTATTCCTTCTGTCTACCTGAAATTGGGCTTTTTGCTTTTTGAAATAATATGCATACTTGTAGCCTTTGTTACTCTGAGTTGAGCTGTCTTTGACTTATGAGTGGGTGAAGGCATCAATGACTATATGTTAAAGGAATTTGGCATGCAATTTAAAAGATGATTGGGAAATGTAATTTGTTCTCACTATCATGGTATCATCTGTAAGTTAAAATCTTTGAGAGCTAGAAATATTTTATGAGACGCTGCTCAACAACAACTCAGGACTACAATATAAAAAGGAGCATCTTCCTGGAAGAGATTAGTTCTGGATATTAAGACCATGGGTGCTGGTATGTATGTGTGTATCTAAGTGACTTTCTTTCTATGTCTGTGTGCCTGGATATGCAAAACCTGTAACTGCAGGCTGATTGTTAGTTGGATTACCTTCATTAAAGATTTTGTTGTTGGTCTTGTTTGTTTCCTGTTTTGCCAAACAGTTACATGAACTGATCTGTTGAAACTGAGAGGCTTGGATTGGCCAGGCTACAATCTGATCATATGAACTATTTAGATTTGTTTTATTATAGACGCTATTAAAAATGGCTAATAAATTTTGAAACAAGATACAGATTCCTTTGCAAAGTTGTTTTGAAAAATCGATTATAAAAAAAATTTTGTTTTAAAAAATCTATTTAAAAAGTATTTTTAGAAAAAAGAAAAAAGTGAAAGCAATTTCTACTTAAAATAGGGAGACATCATAGATCATTTGGATCAAGATACCTTCTATTAGTAATTTGTTTCTTCATCTAAATCAATAGATATGTAGTTAGTATTTCAATACATATGTATTTAACACCTATTTGGTAATAAAAGCTATGTTTTGTATAGCATTGCTGAAATTGGTTGTTTTCATCAAGTCGTTTCATTGGTATTGATGAAGGTATCTCATATCTTCCTTATTTTTCCATCAACTTTGATGACTTGTTATCTAGAATTTTTGTTATTCATTGTATCCATCTTACTACTAAGAATAATGCTTAATTATAGTCGTAATTAATACTCATTATCTCCTTTTTGATTAGAATGTTTCAGCCTTATGTGCCGATTTCTACAATTTTTGTGGAATGTAGTTGATATTCTGTTTTCTGGTTTGAAGGCTAATATTTGTCATTTTTATAACTCATGCCAGACAATGTTGAAATGCCAGTTCTAGGAACTGAAAATTTATTTTTGTCTTTGTACTAACAGTGATAGCACTGATAGTTTAAAAACCAAAACTTTAGGAAAAAAATTGTTTTTGCAATTCCATTTGTATTAATATCACAATAATAGATGGGCCATATGACCCACAAAAACAAACCAATAAACAATATTCTCTTTTTGAAACAGCCTAAATTGAGTTTAAGATTAAAAGTCTGATTGGTGAAGGTTGCTGGTGGGTGAGGTCATAAATCATCAGGCAGATGCATGATAAAGCTGGACTTGGTAACCAGTCTTCTACTCTGTCTCTATCCCTAAGTCTGTTCTCTACTTAGCAACCTAAGCTATTACACATGGAAATAAAATCATGGAACTCTCCCGGTTTTCCACCGCCCTTACAGTTAAACCATCACTCTTAATGGATCTTAACGCCCTGTGAGTTCTTGCCCTGATCTCTGGCTCCATGCTGCTGGTCCCACTCTCTCCTCCCTGATCACACTAGCCCATTTCTCCGACACCCCTGGCTGTTCCCACGCTCTGTACTAGGAACTTGTTCTTTTGTCTCTCTGCAATGCCTTCTTCCTGGCTTTGGAGAGCTGGATCCTTCTCATTCTTTGGTTTTTGACTCAAATATTACATTCTCAGAAACGCCTTGCTTGACAATCCTCTCTAAAGTAGCACTGTCTCTCATTTTACTTTCCTTATGTTATAATTTACAATTATTTAACTATTTGTCTTTTTATTTATTTATTTATTTACTTATGTATATATTCTTCTTCTGTCGCCAGGCTGGAGTGCAGTGGCGAAATCCAGCTCACTGCGACCTCCGCCTCCCAGGTTCAAACGATTCCCCTGCCTCCGCCTCCTATGTACCTGGGACTACAGGCACACGCCACTACACCCAGCTAATTTTTGTATTTTTAGTAGACACGCATTCACCACATTGGCCAGGATGGCCTGGATCTCTTGACCTCATGATCCACCCTCCTCAGCCTCCCAAAGTGCTGGGAATACTGGCGTAAGCCACTGCACCTGGTCGTCTATTTTTTTTTTTTTTTCACTAACCATCTACTTCCACTGCTCCATAACCAAGAAACTCTGTAAGTCTGGGTTCCCCAACCAGCTGTGGATTGCACAGCGGATGAGCAGAGGCAGGCTAGCAAAGAAGGCGTCATCTGTATTTACAGCAGTTCCCCATCATTCACATCACCACCTGAGCTCCTCCCCCATCAGATCAGCAGCAGCATTAAATTCTCATAGGAGCGTCAACTGTGAACTGTGCCTTTGAGGGATCTAGGTTGCACACTCTTTATGAGAATCTAATGCCTGACAATCTGGGGTGGTGATGCTAGCCCTGGGGAACAGCTGCAAATACAGATTATTAGCAAAGAGGTTTGACTACACAGAGGTCATAATAAATCAATCGCTTGCAGATGCATATCAAAACCCTATCAGTGAGTGGCAAGTGACAAGCTGAATTTGGTGGCAGGCTTTATAGTGACAAGTGAGTTGATATACTTCAGTTGTACTGCTGCATCTGGTGGCAGGTTTTCAGTGAAAATTATTTTTCACTTATTTTAGTCCGCATACAGCAGCACATCCATGCTTTTATTTAATGCATCTATCCATGCCTATTTCCCATACTGCACACTTGTTTCAGTGACAGTTTTGGTAAGCCCACAAGCTAGGCCTAGCCAAAATGAGTAAAAAATAAATGTCATTAGAGAGCTTCTTTGAAAAGGGGAAAGACCCAATGATGAGACAGCGAAGACCTCAAGAATGCCAACAAAGGGAAAGCTGCACTTAAAGAGCATACCAAGAGTCCTACTTAAATTACCAGTTCACTGCAACTGGTGGTTCACATTGCCCAAGACCACTCTGTACAATGTGTGGAGATCAGCTATCCAAGGAGGCCACGAAAACTTTCAAAACTGCTTTGCCACATGGTGACCAAGCACCCTGCATTAAAAGACACGGCTTTAGAGTTTTCCAAAAGAAAAAAAAAAAGTAAACATAATGAACAGAAGAAATTGCTGAAGACTACCACTTCATGAAATGTGTCTGCACTGAGAGCATCATTCTTAGTGGCTAACTTCATAGCTAAAGCTAAGAAGCCCTTGATTGATTCTGCCTGCTGCTAAGGACATCTGTCATGATCTTTTAGGAGAGGCTGCAGTCCAATGGTTCAAAAGACAGCATGCGTTCCTCTTTCAGTAGCACCATAACTAGATGAACTGATGAAATAGCAGAGGATATCGATGAACAATTGTTAGGATTAACGAGTCTCCAAGGTACACAATCCAGGTTAAGTCTACCGTTACTGACAGTGAGGCAACAATATTTGTTTTTGTGTGATGTATTTTTCAGAAGGATGCACGTGAGGATATGTTACATTGCCCACCAACGTCACAG